CCCCCGAAATTATAGCCCCCCGGGTCGTTAAATGGGGGGGGGGGGGGGGGTCTAATGCTATCTCCACTTTTGTAATAAACCCCCTTTTTTGTAACGAAGCCGCTTTAGACCCTGTCAAACAATATGTTTAATATATACCCTGCGTGCTGTAGGTACTGTAGTTATTATTATTAAGAGTTGGTGGTGCACCTTCTTTGTTGCTTTGCTATATGTACCTTGTGTGCTATAGTGAAACACCTCTTTCCTTGCCTAAACTCTCTCGACACTTTCTCCTCTTCACCCTAGCATGGCTCCTCACCTCTAGCTACTATCTTAACATGGTACAGAGCTGGTTCTTTCCCGGAACCTTCTCTTTTTTTTTAAGAATCATGGGCCCGCCCGTACTACAGCGCGAAATGCGCTATTTTTTTTTTTTTCTCCCCGTTCGCCCGTCACGCGCGCCCTGCCCGTCCCCCCGAACGTGCCACGTCGGCTGCCTCGCGGACGCCCCGTCGGCTGCCCCGCGGACGCCCTGCCCGTCGCCCGCTGCCCCCCAGTTCCGTCGCCGCGGCGCCCTGCGTTCCGTCGTCGGGGCGCACCCCTTCCCGTCGTCCGCGAACCCCGTTTCGTCGCCTCGCGGCCCCCCGTTCCGTCGCCAGCGCCCGCGCCAGCCCGGACCGCAGGCGCCGCCGCCAGCGTGGCCCGTCAGCGCGGACGCCACCACCGCGGCCAGCCGCCACCGCCACCGCCAGCAGCAGCTACCGCCAGCGCCAGCAGCAGCTACCGCCAGCGCCAGCAGCAGCTACCGCCAGCGCCAGCAGCAGCTACCGCCGCCCTGCCCCCTCCCGCCCGCCCTCCCTTCCACTGCTTCCGTCGTGGGGGGGGGGGGAGGAGGGGGAGATGTGGGGGTGGCGGGTGTGAGGTTGTGAGGAGCCAGCACCTCCTCCCTCCCTTCCCTCTTCCTCTCTCCCTGCAGCACTTGTTGCTGTAGGGGGGGGGGGGGGGGGGGGGCGGGTGTGAGGAGCCTGCCACTCCTCCCTCCCTTCCCTCTTCCTCTCTCCCTGCAGCAACTGTTGCTGTAGGGGGGGGGGGAGAGAAGTGCAGAAGGGTGAGGGGGTGGCGGGAGAAGACAGGTGCGGAAGGTGTGAGGTTGACGGGGTTGAGTGACGAGGGGGTGAGGACTAGGGGGTTCTTAACGGGGGGGGATCGCATTGAGCGTGCGCGCTCATGCCCGCCTAGCCCACCTCCTCTCCTCATCGGGACTTGGGGGTTCTTAACGGGGGGGGATCGCTATGAGCTTTCGCGCTCAAGCCCGCCTAGCCCACCTCCTCTCCCTTCCCTCTCTCACCTCCCCTTTGTAAAAGGAGGTTCGTAAGCGGGTCCGCCGGTCCTGGCCCCCCACCTCCTCTCCTCTCCTCTCCTCTCCTCTCCTCTCCTCTCCTCTCCTCTCCTCTCACCTTCCTCACTTCTCTGCCTTCTTCCACAGCGCTTGGTTTGCTCGTTCAGGGGGTGCTGGCTGCACCAGTTTCTACCGCACGCAGGCTAAGGGGGTGTGTCAAACAATATGTTTAATATATACCCTGCGTGCTGTAGGTACTGTAGTTATTATTATTAAGAGTTGGTGGTGCACCTTCTTTGTTGCTTTGCTATATGTACCTTGTGTGCTATAGTGAAACACCTCTTTCCTTGCCTAAACTCTCTCGACACTTTCTCCTCTTCACCCTAGCATGGCTCCTCACCTCTAGCTACTATCTTAACAGACCCCCCTTCCTGTAAACACTCAGTATCGAACTGAGCTGTAGGAAGGCCGAAGTCAAGGAATTCCAAGATTCCAGCTGACATCAGCCTTTCGACCACGCGTTGGTCTTGTGCCAGCGCGTGGTCGAAATTTGCCCCTAACGCGATACTCGAAAAGAGCAGTCGCGATGCATAACGCATAGTTGAGAAAGTAAGATGACACATAAGATTAACCCCCGGGTCTAATAAATTTACACCCAGATAATAAATACACCCTTGTTTTTTACCCGGGGTAGGATTAAACCCGGGGGTGTATTAGTCGGGTAAATACGGTATATGTATCCCTATGCGTGTTAGTGAAAACCCTTCTTGCCTGTTTCTCGTTTTGGCCTAGCCTTCTGACATCGCCAAGGTTGGGTGTTTTTCGGGGTTGTCGAACCCGAAGGCGACGCGAAGCACATTCGGGAGGCAAGGCATGCGGTCTTCTGAAAGTTGGGCCTGTACACGTACTGAACTAAGTATCCATGTCTGTAGTACCCTCATGTGTCACCTCTACATAGCCTACAACAAACACATACAAAACATATTAACATAGTACGTACTTGTTTTGTCATACGCAGTACAACAATCGCCTGGTTTCTCTCAAGACAAGATCCTGTCACCTGTGCTACTCTCAAACAAGCCACAAAACCTGTCACTTAACAAGCAGCGGCTTCAACTCCTCATCTGCATGTCATCTCCTCTCCTGCTACATCATCTCTCTGGGGTGTCGGTCCACACATCTGCTCAAATATCATCAATCAACTTCCCTCTGCTTCCCCAAATGCCACCTGCGGCAGCTGAGGCTGACACTGCACGAACCGTTGAGCTGCCATGCTGCTAGCCTTGTCCCACCAGAGGGAGCATGGAGTAACCAGCAGAGACAATGCTTCCTGGCTATAGTCACCTCACCAGCAGAGGCATTGCCAACTCCCCCGCTACAGCCACGACCACACACACAAGCACGTTGTCCCAATCGCCAGGCGCCACCGCTTCCACTGCCGCTGCACCCGCTGCTATCGCCAACGTGGCAGGCACTGCTGTTGCCACGTGGACGTGGCGCGGGGCGAAGTTGCCGAACGAATCAAAGAGCAGCAGCGATCCGAACCCAAACCCGAAGCTGCAGAGAAGCATCGCCGCGCTGCCAGGCCAGCTCTTGATCCCGGACCACGGAAGCTTCTGCGAAGGCGCGTTCCCGAACCGCCGTCCCGCAAGTTCCGCGAATCCGTCTCCCGCGCAGAGCGCGTTGAGCGCGAGAAAGGCGGAGGGGGAGTGGCGCCAAAAGATCACAGTGAAGGCGACGAAGCACAGGCCGTACATCACGGGCCCGCGCAGCATTTCCCTGCGATCGCCGCGCCGCGTAACAGATTTAATCGCTGATTGATCTTTAACTACGCCGAGACCGACGAGCGCGAAGTGGAGGGTGATTAGGAGCGGAACGACGGCAGCGGCGAGGCGCGCGTAAGGCTGATTGGAGAAGAGGTTCCACGTCAGCATGAAGATGGGACCGGTGAGGATGTGGATGAGCTTACGGCTGAGATAGACGGAGAGCAGACGGAGCGCGACGAGAGATTGGACGGAGAAAATCCATGCGAGGCAGATGGCGAGAGTGATGCCGGCGGCTGCGGCGTCCTGCCACTCATCGCTTGACACGAATTGCCGTAACCACATGGCGATGCCGTGAGTTAACGGGAGCGATTAAGATGCACGGCGGTGAGAAATAGACTCGATGCGGGGGAAAGGGTAGTTGCGGAAATGATATGTAGAGACAGGACGGTAATGGGTTAGCATGCGAGTAGGACGGGTAGGTGATTGAGGAGGGTCGCCGGCCGCTGTGCCGTTGCTCACTCTCGTTGCCTGTCGGCACCTCGCGGTGATTTCATCCCAAAAAGGGGCCTTAGGCGCGGCGTTGGGGAGAGGAATGGGGAGGAGAAAGAGAGCGAAGAGCGCGTAGGTAGTCCAGGTGAAGGCAGGCGCCTTGAACGTGTCTTGAGGCGAGCTGAGCCGCTGGTGACCTGACCTGATAACACGCAGGTGCCGCCAGTAACCTGGTGTGTCGGCAACAGATTTGTGGAAAGCAGAGTCGCTAATGGAAGAGGTGCATCATGGTAACGAGTCCCGTGCCTACTGCTGCGCAGGGGGCAGCGATGGAAGAGGTGCGTCATGGTGCGCTGTAAGCAAATCCGAACATATGTTGTTGTAAAACTGCTCTACTCTGACGCCTTTAACAAGTTACAAAAGCTGAACTTTCACATTGACCGAGAATTGGGGTAAATGTAGAGAATATGTATAAATCGACGCACTTAGTGTTGAAATGCGTCGTTTTATCGGGTAGACGGAATCTGACACTGTACACACCAGTCTGGATCACAAATCGAAGCAGAGCTCGTCGCGATAGTCGCTCTTCTCTCGGCCTAGATTCCGTCGCTGCCGCTCTCCGCCCTACCAGGCTTTCTCTCTTCGTGTCCTGGCTTCGCGAGCTGCGTCCGCAACGCGTTACAATCGCGTTCGATATTCGTTACGATCATGATTTGCCGGACCAAGGTCGCGTCTTACCAGACCTAGGTCCGTGACTTCTTGGAACGTGCCTCACAATAAGAGCAACAGCCGTACCAACGCACTGGCCCGGTAGACTCCCTCCAATCAAATTCGTTCCCCCCGTGCTCGCGCGAATCGCCGTCCTCCTCGATCTTTCCGTTTTCCCCCGTTATTAGGGAATTCGTTGCGAGTTATAGTTCCAACCGCAGTCTCCCGAATTTGTGGCTCGAATTTGGACGCGCGCGCAGCCACGAGTGCATTGCGCCCGCACGGGAGGCGGAAGGGAACCAGCGCGCCGAGAGTTCCGCCAGTAGTGGGAGAAGCAGCCTCGCGCGGAGCAGAGGAGTGGCAGCCGCGCGCCGAACAGCGCAGCGAAAACGCGCGGGGAAGGGCGGGGTTGGCGGAATGTCGGGCGGCGGGGGATCCCTGGGCGTGAGCAGCGGATTCGTGGCAGGGGGGAGGCGGTGGGAGGATCTGCGGAAAGATGTGAGTCCCGCGGTCGTTTGCTGTCGGCGCCTTCGAAGCAATAGAGTGTCGAGACGGCCAAGATCTCATTGCCGCCGCCGTGCTCCGTGTACGGTCCTACGCGTGTCGAGAAGCCTGCCACGATGCAGTTGACGGCCTCGATCGCTGCACGTCAGCGAGAGTGCTGACGGGGCAAGATTGTTCCCATAAGGCTGACACGCCGTGGGCGACATGCCGTGGGAATGTACCCACACAACGTCGTGACTGTACCGTCGCTCCACTTTGCCTCGCCTCTTGACCGTCCAACCTCTCTCTGCCACCCCCCTTCACCTCTTACTCTACTCCCCTTCACCTCTTACTCCCCTTCACCTCTTACTCCCCTTCACCTCTTACTCTTACTCCCCTTCACCTCTTACTCCCCACCTCTTACTCTCCCTTCACCTCTTACTCCCCTTCACCTCTTACTCCCCTTCACCTCTTACTCCCCTTCACCTTTACTCCCTTCACTCTTACTCCCCTTCACCTCTTACTCCCCTTCACCTCTTACTCCCTTCACCTCTTACTCCCCTTCACCTCTTACTCTCCCCTTCTCCTCTTACTCCCCTTCACCTCTTACTCCCCTTCACCTCTCACTCCCCTTCACCTCTCACTCCCCTTCACCTCTTACTCTCCCCTTCACCTCTTACTCCCCTTCACCTCTTACTCCCCTTCACCTCTTACTCCCCTTCACCTCTTACTCCCCTTCACCTCTTACTCCCCTCACCTCTTACTCCCCTTCACCTCTTACTCCCCTTCACCTCTTACTCCCCTTCACCTCTTACTCCCCTTCACCTCTTACTCCCCTTCACCTCTTACTCCCCTTCACTCTTACTCCCTTCACCTCTACTCCCTTCACCTCTTACTCCCCTTCACCTCTACTCCCCCTTCACCTCTTACTCCCCTTCCCTCTTACTCCCCTTCTCCTCTTACTCCCCTTCACTCTTACTCCTTCCCTCTCTCCCCTTCACCTCTTACTCCCTTCACCTCTACTCCTACTCTCCCCTTCACCTCTTACTCCCCTTCACCTCTTACTCCCCTTCACCTCTACTCCCCTTCACCTCTTACTCCCCCCTTCACTCCCTTCACCTCTTACTCCCTTCACCTTTACTCCCTTCACCTCTTACTCCCTTCACCTCTTACTCCCCTCACCTTTACTCCCCTTCACCTCTTACTCCCCTTCACCTCTTACTCCCTTCACCTCTTACTCCCCTCACCTCTTACTCCCCTTCACCTCTTACTTCTCCTTCACCTCTTACTCCCTTCACCTCTTACTCCCCTTCACCTCTTACTCCCCTTCACCTCTTACTCCCCTTCACCCTTACTCTCCCCACCTCTTACTCCCCTTCACCTCTTACTTTCACCTCTTACTCCCCTTCACCTCTTACTCCCCTTCACCCCTCTCCCCTTCACCTCTTACTCCCCTTCACCTCTTACTCCCCTTCCCTCTCACTCCCCTTCACCTCTCACTCCCCCCCTCACCTCTTACTCCCCTTCACCTCTTACTCTCCCCTTCACCTCTTACTCCCCTTCACCTCTTACTCCCCTTCACCTCTACTCTCCCCCCTTCACCCTTACTCCCCTTCACCTCTTACTCTCCCCTTCACCTCTACTCCCCTTCACCTCTTACTCTCTCCCCTCACCTCTACTCCCTTCACCTCTTACTCCCCTTCACCTCTTACTCCCTTCACCTCTTACTCCCTTCACCTCTTACTCCCTTCACCTCTTACTCCCCTTCACCTCTTACTCCCCTCACCTCTACTCCCCTTCACCTCTTACTCCCCTTCACCTCTTACTCCCTTCACCTCTTACTCCCCTTCACCTCTTACTCCCCTTCACCTCTTACTCCCCTTCACTCTTACTCCCCTTCACCTCTTACTCCCCTTCACCTCTTACTCCCCTTCACCTCTTACTCTTCACTCCCCTTCACCTCTTACTCCCCTTCACCTCTTACTCCCCCTTCACCTCTTACTCCCCTTCACCTCTTACTCCCTTCACTTTACTCCCCTCACCTCTTACTCCCCTTCACCTCTTACTCCCCTTCACCTCTTACTCCCCTTCCCTCTTACTCCCCTTCACCTCTTACTCTCCCCTCACCTCTTACTCCCTTCACCTCTTACTCCCTTCACCTCTTACTCTCCCCTTCACCTCTTACTTACTCCCCTTCACCTCTTACTCCCCTTCACCTCTTACTCCCCTTCACCTCTTACTCCCCTTCACCTCTTACTCCCTTCACCTCTTACGCCCCTTCACCTCTTACTTACTCCCCTTCACCTCTTACCCCCTTCACCTCTTACTCCCCTTCACCTCTTACTCCCCTTCACCTCTTACTCCCCTTCACCTCTTACTCCCTTCACCTCTTACTCCCCCTTCACCTCTACCTCCCCTTCACCTCTTACTCCCCTTCACCTCTTACTCCCCTTCACCTCTTACTTTACTTACTCCCCTTCACCTCTTACTCCCCTTCACCTCTTACTCTCCCCTTCACCTCTTACTCCCCTTCACCTCTTACTCCCCTTCACCTCTTACTCCCCTTCACCTCTTACTCCCCTTCACCTCTTACTCCCTTCACCTCTTACTCCCCTCACCTCTTACTCCCCTTCACTCTTACTCCCCTTCACCTCTTACTCCCCTTCACCTCTTACTCCCTTCACCTCTTACTCCCTTCACCTCTTACTCCCCTTCACCTCTTACTTCCCCTTCACCTCTTACTCCCCTTCACCTCTTACTCCCTTCACCTCTTACTCCCCTTCACCTCTTACTCCCCTTCACCTCTTACTCCCCCTTCACCTCTTACTCCCTTCCCCTTACTCCCCTTCACCTCTTACTCCCCTTCACCTCTTACCCCCTTCACCTCTACTCCCCTTCACTCTTACTCCCCTTCACCTCTTACTCCCCTTCACCTCTTACTCCCCTTCACCTCTTACTCCCCTTCACCTCTTACTCCCCTTCACCTCTTACTCCCCTTCACCTCTTACTCCCCTTCACCTCTTACTCCCCTTCACCTCTTACTCCCCTTCACCTCTTACTCCCCTTCACCTCTTACTCCCCTTCACCTCTTACTCCCCTTCACCTCTTACTCCCCTTCACCTCTTACTCCCCTTCACCTCTTACTCCCCTTCACCTCTTACTCCCCTTCACCTCTTACTCCCCTTTGTTGAGATAGCTAGGCAAGGTGAGTTGACTATCGAGAGAAATTTTACAAGTAGGAAAACCCTAAGGGGTTATCCCCTATAACATCTACCCCACTACAGCCTACCAATATGTATCACACATATATATCATTTGACACACCCCCATAGGCAAAGTGGGGGAGAGCAACGGGTCACAAGACCAGTCAAGAGAAACAAAACAAGCTCAGGGTGGATCACAACGTCACCACACATTCTGAGCACAAGCAAATGGCCACAAGGCCAGTTCACATGCAGAGATATATATGCAGCAATGACAGTACAGTGTCGAGCTACCTAGCAAGAGCCAGCATGCAGGTGTATATATATAAATCACAGTACAAGCAAAGATTACAGCAAGTGTGGAAGCATAGGCACAAGGCCTAACAGAGTACAAAAGCGCTGATGATCACCAGACGGAAGTGCCTTGGTGAATATATCAGCAGTGTTGGCCCGAGTGGCCACGTAACGAAGACAAAGCTGGCCTCGCTGCTGCAACTCTCGAGCCAGGAAGTAACGCAGAGCAATGTGCTTCGTTCTGTGCTCCAGTCTGTGCTCCTCACACAAGGCAATGGCGGCCTTGTTGTCAACGTACAGCACTGGAGGAGAACGAGGCTGCTCTCCCAAGTCAGTCAGCAGGTAGGTGAGCCAGCGTAACTCCTGTGCAGCCATGGCGGTGGCGTAGATCTCAGCCTCACAACTGGAGCCAAGAACTGAAGACGAGCGTGTAGAACGCCACGAAACTGAACCAGAGCCAAGGCTGAAGGTGTAACCCTGTGACGACCGCTGAGTAGCCAGGTCGTCAACCCAAGAAGCGTCTGAGTGCCCAGTGAGGACAACTGGGCTCGTCCCTCCAAGCACTAGCCCCATGCCTGATGTGCTGCACAAGTAGCGCAGTACCCTCTTAGCAGCAGCCATGTGCTCAGGTCGGTGTCGACCAGGAGCCACGTAGCGAGCGAGGAGACCAAGAGGGTACGCGAGGTCAGGTCGAGTGCAAGTCATCAGGTACATGAGGCAGCCGACTAGCTCTGGGTAAGGACCACTCGGCTCTACGGACTCGTCCGAAGGTGGAGCTGAGAGCGTGTGACCTGTAGCCAGAGGAGTGGCCTGTGCTGAAGACCAGGTGAAGCCGAAGCGCTGAAGGACCTGCTGCACCATGTGTGACTGAGTCAAGGTGATGGTGCGGCGTGCTCTGTCCCGGGTGATCTGCAAGCCAAGGTAGCTGCGCAGCTCACCCAAGTCAGTGCACGTGTGTCTCTTCTGTAGCTCCGACTTCACGTGGGCGAGAGCCTCAGTGTCAGCAGTGGCAAAAACCAAGTCGTCGACGTACACGAGGATGTAGAACGGCGGCAGTGAAGTGTCTGTGCGCAGAAACAGCGACGGGTCAGCAGTAGAAGGCGCAAACCCAAGAGCCGCAAGTGTCGTCCTCAGTGTGTCGTGCCACTCACGTGGCGCCTGGCGGAGACCGTAGACCGGCCGTCGGAGGCTCCACTGGGTGCCAGGAGGGAACGACCCAGTGAAGCCCGGGGGGCGGCGCAGCCAGATCTCCTCGTGCAGGCTGCCCTGTAAGAAAGCAGTGCTGAAGTCAAGAGAGTGAAGCTCGTAGTCACGGTGAGCAGCAACGTGCAGCAGCACCCGAAGAGTGGTCATCTTCGGGGTGGGGGAGAAGGTCTGGAAGAAGTCAACTCCCTCTCGCTGACTGAAGCCTCGAGCCACGTAACGCGCCTTGAAGACAGGCGGAGAACCCGGCGGCCGCTTCACCCTGAAAATCCACATGCCACTGACGATGTTCGCCCCAGGTGGGGGAACCTCGTCGACATAGGTGCCTGTGGACTTCCAGGAAGCCATCTCTGCGTCCATGGCTGCCTGCCACTGAGAGGAGTAGGGACTCTCTATCGCCTCTGCGTAAGAGCGCGGAGTCGGGATGTCTGGTGCATCCGGGTCTCCCTCAGGGGCAAGTAGCGAGGACACAAGATGAGGTAAAGCAGCAGCAAGACACTGGAACTCCTCCTGCCTGTCCTCAAGGACGTCCGTGCTAAGAGCACACTCACCCCCGACGGACGGAGGACAGACAGACGCAGACTCAGTAACAAGACCGGCGGCGTAGTCTAGACGACAGGCAGCAGCAAAGTCAACAAGCTCAGCGACAAGAGCAGACGCAGCAGTAGACTCAAACGACGGGTCAGTGACAACAGTGGCTAGCAGACGCGTGACAGTAGCGCGAGAAAGAGCGACGGGGGGGGGCGAGAGACAGTGCGGTAGGGAAAGAGACGGTAGAAGGGAACAGACTCGTCAAAGGTGACGTCCTGAGACGCAAAGACACGGCGCGAGGTGGGCTCGTAAAACTGCCAGCCAGGCGCGTCAGGAGGAAAACCAAGGAAGACGCAGGGAATGGCGCGAGCAGAGAGCTTGTCCGCGGTGAGATCGCGGACAAAGGCACGAGCACCCCAGACCCGGAAACGCGACGCATCGCCAACCTCCCCCGTCCACAGCAGTGTGGGCGAGGTCTCCGGCAAGGAGACACGGGGCCAGAGGTTGAGCTGATGCGCGGCGTACCGGACCGCGAACGGCCACAGAAAATGGGGAGCCGCCGCATGGATCATGGAGGTACGAGCGACCTCCATGACTAAGCCAATGCGGCGCTCAGCAACCCCATTCTGCTGCGGAGAGGCCGGAAGCGTGAACGACTGGGTGATGCCGTGCTCCGCACAGAAGGCTGCCAAGAGGTCAGAGGAGAACTCACCACCTCTGTCAGAGTGCAGACGCAGGACAGGAAAGTCCCGCTCGAACCGCTCGCGGAGCTGGAGACGCACAGCGCGGATCCAGGGGATCAAAACAGCAGGGACGTCTCCCTTGCTGCGCAAGGGGAAGACCGTGGTGTAACGCGTGAAGTCGTCGACAACCAGCAGAAAGTACCGCTCACGGCCCTGTCCCTGGACGCGGGCTGGGCCCCACACGTCCAGGTGAAGCGTCTGCAGGGGAGCCTCTGTGGGAGGAAACGAGGAGGAGTGAGGAGCGGCGCGCTGCCGCCCCTCGACGCAGGGAATGCAGGGCGGCGCAGGCGAGGGAGGGAGGGCAGGCAGAGACCTGGGAAGCCCAGAGACCAGAGAGCGAGAGTGCATGCTACGAAGGCGAGGCAGGGAGGGGTGACCAAGACGGTGGTGCCACAGGAGCGTGTCGTGCGACAGGCGGCGGCACTCACACTGGGTAGCTACCTGAGCAGACGCGTACAGCTGTGGAGACAAAGGAGCGGAGCGTGAAACAGTGGTGAGGGTGTACAGACTGGACCCCGGCTCACGAGTGAACGTGGCCAGGTGGCGGCCAGTCTTGGAGCACGTACAGATCGCCACACGCTGCCCTCCAGGAGTCCAGGTGTCAACCCAGTGATCCTGGAGGACGGCGTTGCTCACCAGGTTCGTAGAGAACGAGGGAACGAGGAGACCTGACAGCTCACCAGACGGGACCGCCGGGCACGGGAGCACAGTCGTGCCGCGTGCAAGCACTGGGCCCCCAGAGGGGTCAGCCAGGGAGACAGGGACAGGTGCAGGGAGCGGAGTGACGGTGGTGCTATCACGAAAGAAACAGCGGGAAGCACCAGAGTCAAGTGTAAACGTGTGCAAGGCCTGAGCCGACTCAGTACCAAGGGGAGCAGACTCACTAGCACCTAGGGCTGCAGTCCTTATACCGGGGTCAGGCGGCACACACAAGTAGCAGTCACCCTCAGCACTAACAGTCAATGCATACATGGCAGCAAGAATAACATCATAGTCCAGATCAAAGATAGGCACATCACGCCTAAGCAGCTCTGCCCAGTTGGGGAACTCAGTAGCATCAGGATACTTAGTACGCCAGGCGTCACTAAGCCTAGCAAAACAACGATACTCAGTGTGAAAACCGTTGCAGGGGCGACCCTTGCGGGGGCCAGTACGAATGACATAGGGGCAGCGGTCAGAACCCCGAGACGCCCCACGCCCAGCATACCAGTCATTGAGCTGCTGGGAGGTGAGGGGAGGAAGCTGCTGCTGCTGCTGTGGCTGTTGCTGCTGCTGCTGCTGCTGGCCACCCTTCTGGCCAGATCCACCCCCACTCCCACCTCCACCGCCACTGCCGCTGCCTCCTCCCCCACCACCGCCGCCGCCGCCTCCACCGCTCCCGGTCCTGCCGCCACCCCATCCACCGCCTCCACCCCCACGGCCACCCCCACCACCTCCACCACCCCCGCCGCCTCCACCACCGCTCCCTCCACCGCCACCTCCGCCACCCCTGCCACCCTTGCCGCCCCTGCCACCACCACGCTTCCCACCAGGAGCGGAAGCCGCTGCGACCTTCTCCGCACCGAGGAAGTCGACAGCAGTAGCAGCAGAGGCGTAGGAGGGGTCAAGAGGGGAGGGGGAGCACCCCTCAAAGAGGGGAGTGCGGGGAGTGCCACGAGCAGCACCGACAGCGAGGATGTTCTTCTCTGCTGCGACCAGCTGCTGCTCGAAGTCGTCCAGAGTGATAGTTGGAGGATCCTTGGCAAGGAAGTAATCCCTGACAGAGCGAAGAGTGTCAGGGAGGCGGGTGACGAGGATGTAGAGGGTGAAGTACAGCGGGGGGGTGTTCGTGGCGAGGAACTCTTTGGTAAGAGCGGCTCGAAAGCGGGCGTCACTAGCGCGGAGGTGAGTGATAAGGTCGGCAGCAGTGTGAAACGAGGCTAAGTCTGGGAACAGGTAAGGCAGGATGAGACTACCAACGGTGGCTGTGGTCGGGGCGGAATAGCGGGCAACGACAGCATCATACAGCGTCTTAGCAGTCTGAAGCTGGTTGAAATGCGCGCGCTCAGAGATCGGTAGGTGATTGCGAATAACAAGGCGCGCGACAGCATCGCGGAGCTCCCACTGTGCTCGTTCAGGGGCAGGAGCAGTCTCAGCAGGAGTAGGGACAGTGCCGGTCACATAGGCTAGCAGGGACACTCCGTCTGCGACGTCAGTCATAAGGTAAAGGCGCAGGTCACTAAGCCAGGTGTCAAACTCGATGGGGCGGCCGTCAGGCTCAAAGGCGAGAACAGTAAGGGTCGCCATGGTTGTAGCGCAGGCAAAAGTAGCAGGCTCAGGCAGCAGGCTCAGGCAGCAGGCTCAGGTAGCAGGCTCAGGCAGCAGGCTCAGGCAGCAGGCTCAGGCAGCAGGCTCAGGCAGCAGGCAAAGACTGCAGGTTCAGGCAGCAGGCTCAGGCAGCAGGCAACTGTAGCAGGTAAGGAAGCACGCAGTTCTGTGACAGGCCGCGCGTAAGGCAGGTAAGCGCACGACTCACGGGCGGCTAAGCGCTCAGGTCGAGGCAGTGGCGCACAGGCAGGGCAGGGCACGCGCTGCTGCGGGCTGCGCGCGGCAGCGGGCTGCGCGCGGCTGCGGGCTGTGCGTGGCAGCTGGCTGTGCGCGGCGACGGGCTGCGTGCGGCTGCGGGCTGCGCGCGGCGACGGGCTGCGTGCGGCTGCGGGCTGCGCGCGGCGACGGGCTGCGCGTGGCTGCGGGCTGCGCGTGGCTACTGGCTGCACGCGGCGGCGGGTCGCGCGTGGCGGCGGGCTGCGCGCGGTGACGAGCTGCGCGCGACAGCAGCGAGCACGCGGGCGGCTAAGGCAGCGGGGCGCGCTAAAAAAAAAAAAAATGCACGCGCGCATGCAGCCGAGGCGCGCGCGGGCAGCAGGCAAGGTAGGCACGTAGGTATAGCTGTAGGGAAAGTAACTCATGAGTAGGTGGGCCCCAATCTTAGGTCCTTAGGACCATTGCTCTAGATGCCATGTTGAGATAGCTAGGCAAGGTGAGTTGACTATCGAGAGAAATTTTACAAGTAGGAAAACCCTAAGGGGTTATCCCCTATAACATCTACCCCACTACAGCCTACCAATATGTATCACACATATATATCATTTGACACCCTTCACCTCTTACTCCCCTTCACCTCTTACTCCCCTTCACCTCTTACTCCCCTTCACCTCTTACTCCCCTTCACCTCTTACTCCCCTTCTCCTCTTACTCCCCTTCACCTCTTACTCCCCTTCACCTCTTACTCCCCTTCACCTCTTACTCCCCTTCACCTCTTACTCCCCTTCACCTCTTACTCCCCTTCACCTCTTACTCCCCTTCACCTCTTACTCCCCTTCACCTCTTACTCCCCTTCACCTCTTACTCCCCTTCACCTCTTACTCCCCTTCACCTCTTACTCCCCTTCACCTCTTACTCCCCTTCACCTCTTACTCCCCTTCACCTCTTACTCCCCTTCACCTCTTACTCCCCTTCTCCTCTTTCTCCCCTTCACCTCTTACTCCCCTTCACCTCTTACTCCCCTTCACCTCTTACTCCCCTTCTCCTCTTACTCCCCTTCACCTCTTACTCCCCTTCACCTCTTACTCCCCTTCACCTCTTACTCCCCTTCACCTCTTACTCCCCTTCACCTCTTACTCCCCTTCACCTCTTACTCCCCTTCACCTCTTACTCCCCTTCACCTCTTACTCCCCTTCACCTCTTACTCCCCTTCACCTCTTACTCCCCTTCACCTCTTACTCCCCTTCTCCTTCTCCCCCTCCCTCTCTTCCCTGCTGCACAATCTTCGCTGTGTCGTCTTTCCCCATCCCAGCCCCTCTCCCTTCGCTTCCCGTATCTCTCTTTGTTCTTCTCTGCCCCTTTCCGGTGCCGCTTTTGACTCGTACTTCCCGTCCCCTCCCCCTCCCTTGCTCCCCAACCCACCCCCACTCTACTCCCGTCCTCCTTCCTCCCCACCCCACCCCCCCCTCTACTCTTTTTCCCCCTCTACTCTTTTTCCCCCTCTACTCTTTCCTCCACTTTCTCCCATTTCGCTTCCCCTTCTTTGTTCCTTTTCTCTCCCCTTCCATCTTCCCCCCTCCTCCCCCCCGCCACACTGCAGGCGCGCCGAGAGGAGAGCAAGGGGGACCAGGTCCCGCCAGTCTTTGTTTGTGTGCTTTCCCGCTTCCTTCCTCCTCTCGAGCAATTCTTGAGAAATCTAAAAAATCTCTTTCGTCCCCCTCTGCCACCCCCGCCTCCCCCACCTCTCTGGCACGGTGGAGCCTCGTCTCGCGGCCTGTGGTGTGACCGTCGCCTTCCCCCTTCCTCTCCCACTTCCCCTCTCCTTCCCCTGCTATAGGCGCGCCGAGTGGAGAGCGAGGTGGACCACCGCCTCGCGGCCTACTCCAAGCGCGGCACCGCCTTCGACAGTCGCCTGACTCCCTCCTCCCCCCCCCCTCTCTCCCTTCCCCCCCTTTTTACCCCCCCACCCCCCTGCAGGCGCGCAGGGTGGAGAGCGAGGTGGACCACCGCCTGGCAGCCTACTCCAAGCTCGGCGCCGCCTTTGCGCTCGCCTCCTCCTCCACCGCTGCTGGCTCTCTGCCCGACCCCTCCGAGGCGCAGGTGGGCCCGCTGGTTCCTCTTTATCGCCCCCCTCTTTTGGGATTTCTCAATAGTCACCCCCCTCACCCCCCTCCCCCACCCCACCTCGCCTCCTCCACCGCTGCTGGCTCGCTGCCAGATCCCTCCGAGGCGCAGGTGGGTCTGCTGCTTCCTCTCTACTCCCTTTGCGGTCGGCCTTGCCTGCTCCTCTGCTCCCACTCTCTCCCCTCTCCTCTCTCTATCCTCCCAAATTCCCCTCCTCTCCTCCCTCCTGTCCTCCCTCATCCCCTCCGCTCTCACCCTCCTTCCATGCCTATTCGTTGCTCCCCCCACCTCTCCCCTGCCTGCATCAACAGATCCGAGAGGGCGAGATCGAGGCGCTGCTGCAGCAGCTGGCGTCGCTGAACGATGCCATGGGTGCATGTGCTGCTGCGGGGGGAGCAGGAGGGGGCAGCTCGGAGCTGCAGGCGCACACACTCACCCGCCACAACAACATCCTGCTGGAGTTCTCAAGGGTGGGTGGGAATGCGTGCATGTGGGCATGTGTGAATGGGTGTGGGGCGTCATGAGTGACTGAACATGCGGCAGCTCAGAGCTGCAGGCGCACACACTCACCCGCCACAACAACATCCTGCTGGAGTTCTCCAGGGTGGGTGAAAGCTTGTGGAATTGTGTGGTTGGGATTGCGTGAGAGTGTGTGAAAGACTGTGTGAAAGACTGTGTGATAGAGTGTGTGAGTGTGTGAAAAAGTGTGTAAGTGTGTGTGTGACTGGAGTTCGGGCAGCTCAGAGCTGCAGGTTCACACGCGCTCAGAGCAAGTGGAGTGTGGGTGGTGGAGTGTGGTTGGTGGAGACTCTTCCACTCGACAACCAAGTGAAGGCGATTGGGAATGGATGGGGGTGGAGAGGGTTGTCAAGCAGTGGAGGGGAGGGGATTATGCACAAGTGCGAATTGGAGGGTGAAATCTTGATGTGCGAGACTCGAATTGAAAACTTCTTATTCTCAAACTTAGGTGTCCATCTGGGTCAAACATGGCGCCTTTGCTTCTCTGACGCCTCGCGTTCGTTCTTGCCTGCAGGAGTTCGCCCGCACGCGAGCAGCAGTGACCACCAACCTGGAGCGAGCGCAGCTGCTGGGAGTGTTCGGCAAGGCGGGTGGCAGGGAGGGGGGCGGCACAGGCAGCAGTGCGGGCGCGGAGGTGCTGTCTGAAACAGCCAGACTGCTCAACGAACGCAACTCCATCCACTCCGCACTCTCTCAGGTGCGCCCACTCTCTCAGGTGCGCCCTCCCCCAGGTGCGTCCTCCCCCAGGTGCGCCCTACCCCAGGTGCGCCCTACCCCAGGTGCGCCCTCCCCCAGGTGCACCCTCCCCCAGGTGTGCCCTCCCCCAGGTGCGCCCTCCCCCAGGTGCGCCCTCACCCAGGGGCGCCCTCTCTTCTCGCTCTCTGCACGACGCCCACCCTCACTGCATGCAAGCAAGCTGCTACATGCACTCTACGTCTTGTATAAAGTGCATGTCTACACGTCGTAGTTGACGCATGCCAACTCAGCGCGCTCCAGCTCAGCGCAGCGCATGCCATCTTGACGCATGCTAATTCGGCATGTGCCCAGTCCCTTCGTCTCTGCTGTTTGGTGACCCCCCTTTCCCGCTCCCTATCAGGCTGATGACGTCATCAAGCAAGCATATGCCACGTCATCATCTCTGGCACAGCAGCGCTCGCTCCTTGGAGGCACATTCTCTAAAGTCACACTCTTGGGCAACCGAATTCCAGGAGTATGTTCCTATGTTGACGCCTATCCTGCTGCTGTCATGCCTGCCCTGCTGCTGTCATGCCTATCCTGCTGCTGTCATGCCTATCCTGCTGCTGTCATGCCTATCCTGCTGCTGTCATGCCTATCCTGCTGCTGTCATGCCTATCCTGCTGCTGTCATGCCTGCCCTGCTGCTGTCATGCCTATCCTGCTGCTGTCATGCCTATCCTGCTGCTGCCATGCCTATCCTGCTGCTGTCATGCCTGCCCTGCTGCTGTCATGCCTGCCCTGCTGCTGTCGCTCCTGCTCCCTTTCCCCTCCATACTTTTCTTTCGTTGTCCCTTGCACTGGTATCCCGACGCAACTCCCATCATTCCCTTCCCTGACGCTGCTTCTTCCCCCTTTCTCTCCCGTGCCCCACCATGCTGCCTCCCACCCTCCCACAATACTGCCAAAAAAGCCCTTGTGACTCATCCATACTGCATGTGCCATGGCCTCATCCATACTGCATGTGCCATGACCTCATCCATACTGCTTGTGCCATGACCTCATCCATACTGCTTGTGCCATGACCTCATCCATACTGCTTGTGCCATGACCTCATCCATACTGCATATGCCATGACCTCATCCACATGCGGCTCTCTCTTCCCTCCTGCCCCCCTCCCTCCCCCCTGTGCTGCAGCTGAACACGCTGTTATCGGCCATCCAGAAGAAGTCATGAGACTCACTCATTCACATGCTGACCTGTTTTCCTCCCTCCCTCTCCACCCCTTTCCCTCCCCTCTCCCCTCCTTGTGTGCAGCTGAACACGCTGCTGTCAGCCATCAGGAGGAAGAAGTCACGCGACTCGCTCATTCTCGCTGCTGTCATCGCCGCCTGCACGCTCTTCCTCCTCGTCTACTGGCTCAACAAATAGCTCCTTCCACTCAGTCCGTCCCACTCTGGCCACAAGCAGTCATCAAGTAGCTTGGTATCCATCCCAGTCATGTCCCAGCAACATCTCTTTGTCAGAATGAAGAATGGATGATGCATTGATGTTGGTTGGGGTACATATAGCTAACCCTAAGTTTTGTACCCCCTAAGACAAACCTCACTATAGGCTACAACATTTGACACACCCCCATAGCCTAAGTGAGGGGTGTCTAGCAGAACCAAACGAGTACGGTCACAAGACCAGTCCAAGAAACAAAGCTCAGGGTGGATCACAACGTCACCACACAGTCTGAGCACAAACAACAGTGGCCACAAGGCCAGTCCAAGAAGTAACAGAGATATATAGAAAGCAAAGTAAACAGTACACTCAAGTCTAAGCAACACGAGAACCAGTGTCAACAAGGCCTAACTGCACACAGCACCTCTGGTGGTCACAAGGCGGAAGCGCCTTGGTGAAGATGTCTGCAGTGTTGGCCTCTGACTCCACAAACTCAAAGCGAGCCTGTCCACGCCTCTGCAACTCTCGCAGAAGAAAGTACCTGACGTGAATGTCAAAGGAGAATAGACGCCTTGTTGTCAGTGAACAAGGTCGGTGCAGAGCTCGGCCGCTCACCAAGGTCGGTGAGCAAGAAGGTCAACCAACGCAGCTCCTGTGCCGCCATGGCACCAGCGTAGATCTCAGCCTCAGCTGTAGAGGTCGAGACCGAAGAGGAGCGCGTGGACCGCCAGGAAACAGCTCCAGAACCCAGGCTGAAACAGTACCCCTGAGTAGACCTGTGAGTCTCAGCGTCGTCAGCGTAAGAGGAGTCACAGTGACCAGTAAGTACGACAGACTGCTGTCCTCCAAGAACTAGCCCCACGCCTGATGTCGTCGCTAGGTACTTCGCCACCCTCACAGCTGCTGTCCAGTGAACAGGACGGTGTCTCCCTGGCGCAACAAAGCGCGCAAGAACGCTGAGAGGGAAGGCGAGGTCCGGGCGAGTACAAGTCATCAGGTACATGAGGCAACCCACAAGCTCTGCGTAGGGACCACTAGGCTCGAACGGCTCGTCAGGAAAGGGTCCAGTGAGTCTGTGGTCAACAGCAAGAGGTGTGCGCTGTACTGTGGAGTGCTGAAGCCCGAACCGCTGAAGGACCTGCTGCACCATGTGCGACTGTGAAAGTGTAATGGTGCGAGCAGCTCTGTCCCTGGTGATCTGCAGGCCAAGGTAGTGGCGCAGCTCACCAAGATCAGTGCAGGTGTGTCTCTTCTGCAGTTCGGACTTCACGTGTGCCAAAGCAACCCTGTCAGGGGTGGCGAAAACAAGGTCGTCAACGTAGACCAGAACAAAGAAATGTGTGAGGCCACGACGAACGAACAGCGACGGGTCAGCAGAAGACGGCTGGAACCCAAGGTCAGACAGGGTAGAACGCAGGGTGTCGTGCCACTCACGAGGAGCCTGACGAAGACCGTAAACCGGTCGCCTCAGCCTCCACTGGGTCCCAGGAGGGAAAGAGCCAGTGAAGGCAGAGGGACGACGCAACCAGACCTCCTCGTGAAGACTGCCCTGAAGGAAAGCAGTAGAGAAGTCGAGAGAGTGTAACTCGTAGTCTCTCTGTGCTGCTACGTGTAGTAACACCCGAAGAGTGGTCATCTTCGGGATGGGGGAGAAGGTCTGAAAGAAGTCAACTCCCTCGCGCTGACTGAAACCTCTAGCCACGTAGCGCGCCTTGAAGACCGGAGGAGATCCCGGTGGCCGCTTCACCCTGTAGATCCACATGCCGTCGACTACGTTCGCCCCCGGAGGGGGAACCTCATCGACGTAGGTGCCTGTGGATCTGTAGGAGGCCATCTCTGCGTCCATGGCAGCTCTCCACTGAGAGGCCCAAGGCCCTGACACTGCCTCAGCGTAAGTGCGAGGAGTCGGAATGTCAAGGGCGTCGGGGTCACCCTCAGGGGCGAGGAGCATGGCACAGAGATGAGGCCACAGAGGACGTCAGGAACTCTAGCTCAAACTGCCTGTCCTCTAGGGCGTCACTGCCAAGGGCAGACACACCCCCGACGGCCAGAGGACTGGAAGGAGGAGCAGCCACAAGAGCGGTGGCGAAGTCAAGGCGGCGGGTAGAGGCAAACTCAGTGACTGCGGCAGTAAGAGCGGACACAGAGGACACAGAGGCACGAGGGTGGGAGCGACAGCAGCAGAGGCAGCAGCCGCTGGAGCAGCAGCAGCCGCAGCAGCCGCAGCAGCAGCAGCAGCAGCTGCTGCCGTCTCCTCCTCCTGTCTCGGGTCTTCGGACCCTTGGTCTCCCGTCTCCCTCTCCTTCCTCCTCCCCCTCTCCTCCCGTCTCTGGTCCTCCGCTTCCTCCTCCTGACCCCTCTCCCGCTGTTTTCCCTCGTCCTCAGTCTTCGTTGTCTCCTCCTCCTTCTCAGACTTGGGCCTCTCGTCGCTCCCCTCGTGCTCGTTTCTCGTCTCCTGTTCCCTTCACTGACCTTCGTACAGCCTTCCTTTGTTCTCGTCCACCTCGTCCGTCTCCGTCTGTGCTTCCGTCTCCTCCTGAGTCGGCCCTCACTGTGTCGCTTCCTACTCCGCGGTGGTACGAACGGAGAACGGCGGAACGGGATCCCACAGGATCCTAACCTAACTGATACCATGTCAGAATGAAGAATGGATGATGCATTGATGTTGGTTGGGGTACATATAGCTAACCCTAAGTTTTGTACCCCCTAAGACAAACCTCACTATAGGCTACAACATTTGACACTCTTTGTTACAAGTAGCTCCCACTCCAGCCATGTCAATTTATTAAGCTGGTTGGAGGAGCCCACCCACCCCACCGTATTGACCATGTAATGTACGATACGGTGTATCTCTCTTGGCTGCCATCTCTGCGCATCTGTTCCTTGGCAACCTTTTCCCAAGCTTCCTTGCTTCCCATTTTCATTATCAGACTGTTACCTTATTCACCCGGATAAAACACCCACCCCGAATTGTACACCCCCGGGTAGCTTGTGCGGGGGGGGTGTTATATTTGACCCCGTTGGTACTATACCCCCCCTTTTGGGGTGATCCTATATAAGACCCGGGGGGTGGGTGTTATGTGCGGCAAAAGTGCAATTTTAGGTCACATTTCACACAGTTAGAGGTACAAACCCAGTCTGTGTGGGACAGGGACGTGACCAATGCGGTCACGTCTTGACTGGTACAGTGACAACGCAGCTTCGTGCGCGATTCCGGCCTCGGGAGTTGCATGACTGGCTCTGTTTCCAGCCAATCAGGGTCCATAGTTAGCCCACTGGAAGTTGCCATGTGGCAGAGTCCAGTGGGCGGTCACGTTATCCTCGTATACTCGGTTTTGCGGCACTGTTTAACAAACAAGAAGTGAAGTCACACACCACATTTTGAAACACATCGATTATGCTTTAAAAAAGTATGTACTATATAATAAGACCCGGATATTATGTAGGACTTTCCGTTGAGGAGACCCCCCCCTTTTTTTCCCGGTATTTATCATAATACCCCCGGGTGTTTTATCCGGGGGAATACGGTATGCCGATTTGAGGGGTGTTGCAATAAATCAGAATCAATATCTCATGCGATGAGACAATGTAGAGTGTATATCGAAATGGGATTGGTAAAATACGTTCTACAGTTCCGTCTTATTGAGCTGTGAAGCTTATCGAACCCTGACACCTTTTCGGGAGTTGGATGTCGTAGACCTACAATATGTTGTTCTTGTCTCTGGACGGTTCCACACGGTGGAAAGCGGTTTCTTCAATTCTTCGTTTTGCACCGCGACCCAACGATTTAGACCGTAAAGAACCACAATAGACCCTCGGGTTGAACACTCCCCCCCACCTTGTGAGGGCATTGTCGTCCGGGTTAGGAACTTCAGAACAGGTGGCCCAAGTAGGTCATGGCGCATAGCACTAGACGGCTGGATTCTAGTCCCGCCTCTCGTAGTCCCAGCTCCGTTGTGTGAACGGAAGTGCCGTGAAGCAGCACCACGCAGACTAATATCTCATTCTTATCGCGCTTCGGCTGCTTCGCAAACCAAGCCCACACTTTTACGCGGAAAGCTCCAATTCGATCATGATTCCCGACGAGGCGCGACACCCACCGCCGTAATCACACCCTTCTACTAGAGACACCAGCACTAATCACTCACCGCCTTTCCGCGCCCTGACGCGCCGTACCCCTTTTGGCTGATCCCCCTACCCTCCGCGCGCGCACCGGCCAATGGCGATCGCGCGAAGCCACGTCGTGTCGCGCCCGGCGGCGGCGGCGCGGTACGGCTCGTCGCCGGACCTGCTGGCGACGTCGCTGCAGCAGTCGTTCCGCTACGCACGGCTGTGGACGGCGTTTCAACAGTTCTTCGGCTTCTTCGCCTTCCTCCTCACGCTCTGGTTCGTCACCTCGCGCCCCTGGCACTCCGCCGACTCCCGCGCCGCAAACTCCGCCGCAAACGCCGGCGCGTTCTCCGCGACCTCGCGTAGCGGATTCACCAGCGGGAGCAGCGGCGGCGGCGGCGGCGGGAAACTGACAGGTCCGGCGGCGTACGTAGTGGTGGTGTGCGATGAGTCGCAGTTAAAGTCCGCCATGGTGCTCGTGCACTCGATCCGATCCACTAAAACCGAACACGATATCGTCGTGCTCGCGCGCAACCTCTCCGGCACGCCGCGCCACATCTTCCGCGCGCTCGGCGCCACCGTCAACCCGCTTCCGCGCGGCGTCCCCGCGTCCGTGCTCGCGCTGCTCGACGACCCCTTCCGCCCCGCCGCCTCCTCCGCCAACGGCAACCGATCCTTCGCGCACGCCGCCGCCGGGAGAGGGGATTCCGCCGACCCTTTCTTTGCATCTTTCTCCGCGAACCCCGCTTCGGAGTTCTCTCCGCCCTTCCCCCCAACAACCTTCGCGGACCCCTTCTCCTTCAGCTCCGTCTACTCCCCGCCGCCGCACCCCGCGGCGCTCGCGGAGTGCCTGCCGTTCAAATTCTCCATGTGGCTGCTGCGCCAGTACTCTAAAGTCGTCTATTTGGACCCGCGCATGCTCGTTCTAGAGAATATCGATGACGTGCTGGCTCGGCCCGAGCCTACCGCAGCTCCGGATAACTCCCTGCCGGACCGTTTCAACCCGAGCCTGTTGGTGCTGGAGCCGAGCGTGGCCACGTACCGCCAGCTCGTCGCGGAATACGCGGCTATCGCGTTCGGCGACGCGGATAGCGACAGCGACAGCAGCGCGAGACGCACCCTCGCAGCAGGGGACTCCGACCAGGCGCAGACGCAGCAGGAGGGGCGGCAGGAGGGGCAGCCTCAGCCTCAGCAGCAGCAGCAGGAGTGGGGGTTGCAGCGGCGGCTGCGGCGGGGGCCAGTGCTGCCAGTGGGGTCGGAGGATCTGATCTTCTTCAACCACTTCTTCTCCGACTGGCCGCAGCTCGGCGCGCAGCACCACCTGGACTACGGCTGCAATGCGCCGTCGCGCCTGGGGTACTCGGCGACGTGGAACGAGTGGGTGCACCCCAAGCTCAAGGTCGTGCGCTTCGCAGGGGGCTTCGAGCGCTGGGACGAGCTCACCGACAAGCTCTACCCGCCCACGCGGCGCTATGATCATCTGCGGTGGGAGCTGCTGAGGGACATGTCGGGGTTGCTCGTGCAGCACGGGGTAATCGCGCCGGCCGACGCGCTGCCGAGTCCGCTGTGCCAGACGGACTTCATGCAGTATGCGCGCGGAGCCCCCGTGCCACGGAAGCTGTCCGTGGTCATCCTCACGCGCGGGGATCTGACGACTCTTCAGACGCTCATATTCCACTTCGCCGCCATGCGCTTCGTGCACATGATCTACGTCATGGCCAAGCCCACCGACGCCCCGGGAGGAGGGAGTGCGGGTGGTGCCGGCGGTGGTGTTGGGGGGGACTCGTCGGGAGGATTCAACCTTGGTGGGAGCGGTAGTGGCAGCGGCGGCGGTAGCAGTGTCGGCAGCGCATGGGCGCAGGGGCACACGCAGAGCATCCTAGCAGCGGCCATCGAATCGTGGAACGCCAGCAAGCCCGTGGAGCTCCTCCCGCCGCTGCGCCGCTACTCCATGTCGGCGCGCATGCGCCCCATCGCGTCCCTCCCCACGGACTGCCTGCTGATGTGCGACGACTCGGTGATGGTGGGCGCGTCCGTGCTGTCGTCCGCATTCAAGTTCTGGCAGGAGCAGCCGCAGCGCCTCGTGGGGTTCTTCCCATCGGCGCACTACCGCGACCCGCACACGAGTGAGCTGGTGTTTGTGGCTGACCCCCGCGAGGAGTACTCCATGGTGGGCGCGCGCCTGCTGCTGCTGCACGCCGACTACCTGCAGTCCTACACCTGCACGCTGCCGCAGGTGAGGGGGGGGAGGGGGAGATGGGGGGTTTGAAGGGGGGAGGGGGGAAATGGGGGGTTTGAGGGGGGGAGATGGGCAGTTTGGGGGAGAGATGCTGGTTTAGGGGGGGGGGTATTTCCGGTGTACAACAGCAGGAGGAGGGAAAAGAGTGAACAGCTCACAGCACGTAGCGATTGCTGGCATCCATTCCATGGTGCAGATTAATGCCCTCAACCCCTCCGCCCACAACCATTCCACGTGCCCCCTCTGCCTTGCCACCAATTCATTGCCTGGCTTCCCTGTGCCAGCGCCCTGGCCGCCAACCCCATGCAGCCCTCAAGTTCAGGTCACGGACGCCGCACCCCTCCTCGTGGCAAACCCCAAGAAGCGAGTCACAGAGGACCCCTGTGCCCGCGCTCCGCTCCCACCTCATCCCAATGCCTTCCCCCACCCAACGCCCCTTTTCCCCCCTTCCCACTCCCCTTCCTGTCGTTCTGCTGGCATCCCAACTAGCAAGTGCGCGACTACATCAAGATGTCCCCCCAGTGCACCGATGCAGCTCTCAACTTCCTGGCGTCCGAGCTCACCGACGCTGCACTCCTCCTGGTTTGGACCCAGACAAGCGAGTGACAGAGGACCTCCCATTGCCTTTCTTCCCATCTGACCCCATCCCTTCCCCCACTGAACCCCTTTCCCCCCTTCCCGAACTCCCCTTCCCCCCCGTCACGCCAGCAAGTGCGCGACTACATTGAGATGTCCCCCCAGTCCCTCCAGTGCCCCCCGTCGCTTCCGAGCTCACAGACGCCCCCCTCTGTGCCTCTCCTGCCTCGCCCTCACACCTCTCCTGCCTCGCCCTCACACCTCTCCTCCCTCGCCCTCACACCTCTCCTGCCTCGCCCTCACACCTCTCCTCCCTCGTCCTCACACCTCTCCTGCCTCGCCCTCACACCTCTCCTCCCTCGTCCTCACACCTCTCCTGCCTCGCCCTCACACCTCTCCTGCCTCGCCCTCACACCTCTCCTGCCTCGCCCTCACACCTCTCCTCCCTCGCCCTCACACCTGTCCTGCCTCGCCCTCACACCTCTCCTCCCTCGCCCTCACACCTCTCCTCCCTCGCCCTCAAACCTCTCCTCCCTCGCCCTCACACCTCTCCTGCCTCGCCCTCACACCTCTCCTGCCCTCTCCCCCACCTGGTAATCACCCAGCGCAACAGGCAGTGCGTGAATGCATCGAGATTTCTCCTCAATGTGCCGATGCAGCTCTCAACTGTCTCGAGCTGCCTTCTGAGTTTACCCAAACTCCCCTCCTCTCAACACCTCCCCCATCCCCTGCTCTACCCACACGCCAGCAAGTGCCGACGCATGGACTACATGGATATGTCTCCTCAGTTAGCCGACACAACTCTCAAATTCCTCATGGTAATCGACTCAAGCGATCCTTCTCACCTATCTCCTTCCTCTCCCCTCCCCCAAACCAACCAACGTGCCAGCAAGTGCGCGACTACATATAAATGTTCCCTCAGTGTGCCGATGCAGCCGTCAACTTCCTGGCCTCCGAGCTCACTGACTCCTACCCCTGCCCCTCACCTCCCTCCCACTCCGCACCTGTTTCCACCCCTCCTCCCTACCTGTCCCCCGCCTCTCAACACGCCAGCAAGTGCGCGACTACATCGAGATGTCCCCGCAGTGCGCCGACGCGGCTCTCAACTTCCTGGCGTCCGAGCTCACGGACGCGGCACCCTTACTAGTCGTAGACCCAGACAAGCGCGTCACGGAGGACCTGGCCTCTTCATTTGAGGACCACACGCGCGTGGGGTCAGCATGCCTCAACGATCTCGAGGCTTTCTTCGGCGACATGCCTCTCCGCAACTCCACGCTCGCCAAGTTCCACCTGGAGCAGGACACCTTCACCAAGATGCAGTTCAATAAGGCCGGCGGCGGGGGAGGGGGAGGAGGGGGAGGAGGCGGAGGGGGAGGAGGGGGGGAGGGGGAGAAGGAGGGCGGGCTGCAGTGGGAGGCGCTGTTTGACGCCACCAAGATGTCGTCCAGCGATGAGAACTTCCGCTTCATGCCCTCCCTCAGACGGGTAACTTCAGATTCATGCCCTCTCTCAGACAGGTAACTTCGGATTCATGCCCTCTCTCAGACGGGTAACTTCAGATTCATGCCCTCTCTCAGACGGGCAACATTATGTTTTGCACTTCAGAATCCGCAACCCTTTCCACCACCCAGTGGCTGGCAGCTCCCTTTTCCTCGCTCACTCCCTTGACTTCCTCCCCTCAATGCATCGCTGCTCCACACCCACTTCTTGCCTCTTGTCATTCCCTCTCACCTGTCCCGCAACCCCTTTCCTCTGGTTGCACATCTTGTCGTTCCCTCTAACTTGCGCAACACTCACCCTCATGCCATACACACCCCGCTGCTGCTTCTCTCTTCAGCTCCAATGCTTCCTTCGTGCCCCTCTCCCCCCCTTCTCTCACCCCCCTCACCCCCCTCCCCCAGGTGACCAACATGCCAGAGGTCCACGTCTTCCCCTCCCCGCAGCACCCCAAGCAAATCCTCTGCATCCTGGGGAACCTCTCCACACCGCTCTGCTTCTCCGGGGGCGCGTGCAACAACTCGTTCGCCATCGCCACCTTCGACTCCATCCCACCGTCCGCCCTGATGCTGCTGGGCACGTCGCTGCTGCTGCACTCGCGGTACGGCTTTGACGACCGCTTCCACACGCCCAACATCCTCGCCAACCTCTTCTACCCCTACCCCGACTACTCCTTCATGCGCCCCGCCCGCGCCTTCTTCTACCGCCGCGGCGGGCTCGACATGCGCCTGTCGCCGTGGTCGCGGCTGCTGTTTAAAGCCATTCTAGGGGCGCACATCGCGCCATTCCGCGTGCGCAATGGCACGCGCCCCGTGTGCTTTGAGAGGGCTGTCATGACGCGGCGGTACCGCCCGGCAGCGCAGGAGAGGAGCATCGTGCTGCAGGACGTGCAGGAGCGCGCCTGGGCCTTCTGCTCCCTCGCCGCCTCCTCCATCCCTCCCACTCCCACTGCCACTGATGCTGCTGCCTCCGCTGGGAATAGCACCACAGGGGCAGGGACAGCCCAGCAGCAGCATCCGATGGCGGGGGTGCCGCCGGGGCTGCGGGGGTTTGTGAGCTCGGACGCGCACACGATCCGCGTGCTGGTGCTGTATGGGGACGCGGACAGTGGGGGGTACGGCATGATGGAGAACCTGCAGGCCGTGCTCAAGGGGCTGAGGGACCGCTGCCACAAGGCCACTGCTTGTGAACTGGTGGCTGTTAGAGAGGCTAACTTCACCAACTTCTGTGCACAGGTGAGATAGGGAGGAGGGTGGGTGGGGTGTGCAGGGGGTGGTGGGTGGGGACTGAAGGGGCTCAAGGGGTTGGGGGAGTGCTGATTGAAGGGGGTGCGGCATCCCTGCTGCTCCTTTATAAACCGTTTCAACAGTCTAGACCTTCCTGCCTCTCCCCTACCTCCCCCCAACTCTTGGACGCCAGGTGGTATCATGAGAGCGACTTCAAAGCTAGTGAACCTCCGCACTCACTCCCCACCCCTTTCCCCCCTTCCCCCCTCTTCCACCCCTCTGCCTCGCAGGTGCTGTTCATGGGGGCAGCATCGATGCTGGTGACAGTGAGTGGAGACGGCACCATGAACCATGTCATGTGGATGCGCCCAGGCAGTGCCGTCTTGGAGCTCGTGCCCTTCGGCATTCCCGAGTACGACCCGCGCGTACTGCGAGTCTACGAGGAGGCTGCCAGGTGAGAGCCGCATGCAAGGGGATGGGCCAATGGGTGGTACCTGGGCTGCCTGCACTCACTGTTGGAGCGCGTGCCTTAGGCATTCCTGAGTACGACCCGCGCGTGCTCGGAGCCTACGAGGAGGTGTCCAGGTGAGACGCGTGCATGGGTTTAGGGGCCGTGTTGCTGTGCTGCACCTTGTGAATAGTTGGGCTATGCACTTAGTGCTGGAGCTCGTGAACTTTGGAGTTCCCGAGGACGACCCGCGAGCAACGAGGCTTCTGGGTAAGACATGTGTTCTAGGTGGTTTTTGAGAATTCTCAAGAACAACCTACAGCTTCTAGGTGAGACATGTGTTCATGGGTGGGCTGAGGCCATGTTGGTTGGTGCCGGGCAGTGCAGTGGTGCAGCTCGTGTCCGTTGGCATCCTCGAGTAAGACCCCTGCCCCGCGTGCTGCCGTCTACCAGGAGGCTTCCAGGTGAGACGCGAGTGCATGGTTGTGCCCATTTTGGTGGAGGGTACAGGGCCTCTGCCACTGCCACTGCCACTGCCACTGCCACTGCCACTGCCACTGCCACTGCCACTGCCACTGCCACTGCCACTGCCACTGCCACTGCCACTGCCACTGCCACTGCCACTGCCACTGCCACTGCCACTGCCACTGCCACTGCCACTGCCGCTGCCTGCCCCTGCCCCGGCCTTTGCCACTGCCACTGCCACTGCCACTGCCACTGCCACTGCCACTGCCACTGCCACTGCCACTGCCACTGCCACTGCCACTGCCACTGCCACTGCCACTGCCACTGCCACTGCCACTGCCACTGCCACTGCCACTGCCACTGCCACTGCCACTGCCACTGCCTCTGCCCCTGCCCCTGCCTCTGCCACTGCCACTGCCACTGCCACTGCCACTGCCACTGCCACTGCCACTGCCACTGCCACTGCCACTGCCACTGCCACTGCCACTGCCACTGCCACTGCCACTGCCACTGCCACTGCCACTGCCACTGCCACTGCCACTGCCACTGCCCCTGCCTCTGCCACTGCCACTGCCACTGCCACTGCCACTGCCACTGCCGCTGCCACTGCCGCTGCCACTGCCTCTTCCACTGCCACTGCATCTTCCGCTGTCAGTATCAGCACGCCATGGCTGAAAGCACCTCGTCATCCCTTGAAAGCACATTCCCAACCCTTTAAAGCACATGTCCATCCCTTGGCAAGCACATTCCTCATCCCTCCCCCCTCCGCCCTCTGCCACCTCTAGCCTCACTGCCACGCCAGGCCACATGGTGGAGCATGCAGGTGGGTGCGAGTGCAGCACGACAAGGTGTTTGAGCTCATGGCCCTCAAGTGCCCTTCCCCTTCCCCTTGCCCTTCCCCTTCCCCTTCCCCTTGCCCTTCCCCTTCCCCCTCCCCTTCTCCTTCTCCCTTTTGCCCTTCCCCTTCCCCTTGCACTATCGCATGCAGGTGGGTGCGCGTGGAGCACGACAAGGTGTTTGAGCTCATGGGCCCCGAGTGTCCGCGCAAGAACGCGTCGTGCCGCTTCATGTACCGCCGCCGTGCCATAGTGGCCAACGTGACAGCTGTCATGGCGTGGTTCGACGCCACGTATGCGCGCATGCGTACTGAGGGGAAGGAGGGCACGCTAGGAGGCAGATACGGTGGAAGGATTTGATGTGATATGATTTGAGTGCGCTAGTGGGAATCGAGCATGCTAAGTTGTTATGATTATTATTGCTGCGTTGGTGTGAGGTTATATGAGCATATAATCGCAGAAAAAACGAGGTGGGTGGATAACAGAATGTCTCTTATTGGCTGATCTGCTCTACAACTGAATAATGTTTTGGCACTCTAATAAAGGCTTATGTCATTACGAAACATAACTGCACTGTAGACGGGCACGCCCTCACCACGCCCACCTCCTCCCACCCTTCCGCACTCCCGCCATGGCGTCATTCCCGAGGTCGCTGACCCTGCGCTGCCCCTGATGCTCTGAGGGTATGCTTGGAAGAAGGGTTCGGTCGCTAGATGGCGCACTTTACGGGAGTCCGGTTACCATTTCGTGGAGCAGCAGGACATCTCGTCCGTCCACTGCGCACGAGATGTGATCGCGAGATCATGGACGGCCGCGGTCGACCAAATCAGTGCGCCCGTCATTCTGTCCGCATGCTGCGCGACAGCGAGCCTGTGCCTCGGCGCGGAGAAAACGTCGTCTTTCTACGCTCTCGCTCCCCTGTGTATCGTTTCGTTGTGTATCCACGGGGACACCTCTCCTCCCACTGCCAGGTCAATCCACTACCTTGCCCGCTTGTCCTCCTCTCTGTCCCCAACCATTCCACCATTCTCCTGCGTCTTTTCCCTCTCCCATCGCCTCAACAATCTTCTCCTCCCGCTCCACCTTCCCCACACTCCCCCATCGCCGCGCGCCTCTCCCTTCGTCTCTGTCAAACCGTCCCAAGGCACTGCTTCACGCCTGTCTGCCTGTCGGCGGACTTCCTGGCTGAACGGCGCCGGCGCCTGTCTCTGCGTCGCGACACTGCTTCGCGCTGCTCCCCGCGTCGTTCATTCCGCTTGGAGCCCAAGCACCAGCCCCTTGTGCTCCTTCCGCGCACCCATTCCCCGCCCGTCCAGGTCCATCCTCTCCCCCAAACTCTGCGTCTGCTCCTGTCTCGTGTTGCACTGCTCCACCGCCCTCCACACCCCCCTATTGCCCAGTGTAATACCTAGCCATCTCTTTCCTAAACCCACGCCACGCGCCCCACTCGCCGCTTTACCCGCCCCCCCTCTTCCCCTTCTTCCAGCTACCAAGCGTACCACCACCACCACCACTGCTGCTGCTGCTGCTGCTGCTACGGCGGGTCCTACCCTGCTGCTCTCTGCAAGGCACGTGCTCCCTCACAGGCTCCCCTCCCCCCTGCAACTAACGGGCTCACGGCCTCTGGAACTCTTTGAACGCCTCCTCGCAACGCCATGCCGCGGATTGCTGCAGTGGCTGCGGTGGTAGCCGCGCTGCTGGTGGCCGTGGCGGGCGCCCTTGGGATTGCCTCCCTGCTCCTGCCACGCACACGTGGCGCATGCCACAGCAGTTGCAACCACACGGGACAGGTACGGTACGGCGCACCTATGGTGGTGGCTAGCTGTTGCCCTGTCACCAGTGAGTGATTCGCTGATTACCTGGCGGCCTGGCCCATTTGGGAAACCCTCTTTTCTTGACTACGCATGGTGCGCGTGTTTCCTTCCCAGAAGGCCTTATTCGTCCAGCCGTGCAATCCGTTGTGTTGTGAAACTATCCTGTGTCTGTGCTGTGACACCCTGCATGCACACCATGTGTGTTGATGCCTATCCACATGTGTGTTGTTTGTTCTCCCAGACCATTGCAGCTCTGACGTGTCATGATGCCACATGTCATATTGCCACATGTCCACCTCAGCTGAATGCTCAAGGGATGCCCAATGACGCCATTCTCCCAGCCTTCGATCCCCGCGCCACTGCTCTTGAAACGCCTCGACGTCTTCTGCCCCGTATGGTGAGCCACTGAAAGCAGGGCGCGCATTGCATTCAACTGCATTACCCTGCACCGCTCTGCTTTGCACTGCATGACAGGAGAAGGGTTGCAACCAGGTTAGCCGTCTGCTCCTTGCAAGAGGAAGGGCAGAGCGAGAAGGCATGAGGAGCTGCAGGTGTAACACACACTCTCGTGTCGCCCGCATGAGTGTGGTTGCACAGCATCAGCATCAGCGTGGAGCATTGAGGCTGCCATTTGTTCATTCTCACACCACACCTTTCTCTCATGCCTTGCCTTCTCTCACTCCCTTCTCCTACCCCCTACAGCTGGGCCTTGTTTACCTTGCCAGCTCCGTCCTGGTGTTTCTGCTGTGGTGGATGGGCATGGGCGTATCAAGAGCGCGATTTGGAAAGTGGTTGCATCAGGAGGGCTTGGCGGTAATGGTGGGGATGGCAAAGCTGAGAAGTGCAGCTGCGTTCTTGTATTGCAGGGTGCGTTATTCACAACATGTGAGTGAATGCCTGTTTCGGAGGATAAGGATAAGAGCATGTCCTTTCATGCTATGGTGCACCCACCATACCTTACACATCTACCTCTTTCCAGCTGCTGCTGTGCCTGCCCTCTTCGTTCAGACTCCAATTGACACACCCATTTCATCTACCCATTTCTTCCTCCCATATCCCTCGCCCCCAGCTCTTCCCTCCATGCTGCTGCTGCCTCCCTTCCATTCCCGCCCTCCCCTCTCCTGCACATCCTTCACCTCTCATCCCTCTTTCGCCTCTCCTTCCCTCGTCCCCATCCTCCCTGCCCGCACCATGTGCCAGTGTCATGCACTCTGCCTTCGACTCTCCGATCCTCGCCGCCACACATCCATGTGAGGATGCAACTCGCTGTCTGCAATCAGCATTCCCCACATAACGCCGCCAGTTGCCCTGATTGTTTGCGCTTTCACTCACCTTTAGGTTTCCCTACTCTCGTTGTTTCTCTGCTGCATTCTTGGGTGTTGGCCTTGTACCTCGACATGTCCTCTTTGTGCTGCCATGTGCTGCCACGTTCTCTCATGTTCTCTCATGTGCTGCAATGTGTGCTAAAATGTGTGCTGCAATGTGTGCTGCCATGTGTGCTGCAATGTGTGCTGAAATGTGTGCTGCAATGTGTGCTGCCATGTGTGCTGCAATGTGTGCTGTCATGTGTGCTGCCATGTGTGCTGCAATGTGTGCTGCCATGTGTGCTGCCATGTGTGCTGCCATGTGTGCTGCAATGTGTGCTGCCATGTGTGCTGCCATGTGTGCTGCCATGTGTGCTGCCATGTGTGCTGCCATGTGTGCTGCCATGTGTGCTGCCATGTGTGCTGCCATGTGTGCTGCCATGTGTGCTGCCATGTGTGCTGCCATGTGTGCTGCCATGTGTGCTGCCATGTGTGCTGCCATGTGTGCTGCCATGTGTGCTGCCATGTGTGCTGCCATGTGTGCTGCCATGTGTGCTGCCATGTGTGCTGCCATGTATGCTGCCATGTGTGCTGCCATGTGTGCTGCAATGTGTGATATCACGTGCTGCCATGTGCTGCCATGTGCAGTCAGATTGGCAGTTCAGGGGTTGGGGAAGTGACTGAAGCTCGTGGGCAGGGAGCCCCGTGGCAGGGATTGGAAGGGTCGATCAGGGCGCTGGCAGAGCAGGTGGAGGGGGCGAGGAGGGAGGTGACAGCAGTGACAACGGAATTGGCGGAGCACAAGGGGCGACTGGCAGGCCTGCAAGAAGCTCTCACACAGACTCACCTTGCCAGCCAACGATCTTGGGAGGTTAGTGTGACTGTCTCCTGTAGTTTCTTTCAAAACAACACGCCATACTTCTCTTTGCTTACGGTCTCACAAGAAACGTTGTTCGAGGAACGCATTTGCCCGTCTTGTTTCGTCAGATGCTTCTGTCAGTGTGGTGCGGGGACGCGTCAAAGAGCACCCATGTGGAGCTGCAGAACCTGCCTACCCTCTCCACCACTGCACTGCGCCTTCTCTCCACCATCTCTCTCCTCCAACATGTCGATTTAGACGGGTCGGCAGGCTTCAGTGCCGAGGGCGTGCGTCTCCTTTATAAGCTGCCTCGTTTGGAGGACCTCAGCTTGCGAGACACAGCCGTTGCAAACGATGCCCTTATCGGCATTGGGGAAGCGAAGAGCCTTGCTCGCCTGTATCTGAGCCGCACCCAGGTGACCGATGCTGGGCTTCTGCATGTTGCTGCTGTTTCCTCGCTCAACACCCTGTCACTGCTTGGTTGTGAGGGCGTGACGGGCACGGGCATGGTGCATGTGGGGCGGCTGGGCGGCCTGGAGTGGCTGTATTTGCAGGGAACGGGGGTGGACGATGCCGGGCTGCACCATCTGGCTTACCTTAGCAAGCTGCTTGTGCTCTACCTGCCCCATGGGGAGTGTGTTGATCACAAGAAGCTCTGTAGGCAGCTGGGCAGGTAGGTGGACGGAAGGAGCATGGATGGAAGGCAGTGCAAGGTGCCTTAGTGAGAAGTTGGCTCTGTTATGAGTAACTTACTCTTCATTGAAAGAGAATAACATAATTAAGATGGAAGTACAAGAGGTTTAAATAAAAAACTAACTAGCCATGTACTTTGAGGGGTACATTCCCTTTTTGACTGTTTTGCTATAGTAACCGCGACTATTGCTATACTCGGCAGTTACCTCATTCGAGCATGTAACCTCTGAGAAGCTGTTACTGAGTGGCGTGTAACCAGGCCCTACGATATCAGAGAAATTTTTTTGAAATTCCTTATTTTCAGCCTATTTTTGGCGCTGTTCGCCAGCACCAATATAACTGAAAACGACGGGATAACAACGGGATCAGGAAGGTGGGTCTCGCCTTCCTGATCCCGTCAGTTAGAGTTCGTTAACCTCCGTCAGCTTGGTCAGCCCGTGAAAAATGTGCCGAGCCTCACCAACCGTCCAAACCAATTAACAAAGTGGGCGTCTGGCGAACGCCCACTTTTGTACACCGACTTTTACGTTTCGACGGCATGTGGAAGCGGGGACGAAACTTCCTCCCCAGGCAAAACACCATCCCCTTGCAATTCCAACGTCATGCTGCGTTTTTCGAAGCACAGCGGTGGCACAGCGGTGGCACCGCGGACGCATTGCTGTGCAGGGGAACCCTCGAACAAGCCTTCATTTTGACACAGGGGGGTTCGGAAAACCCTAAAGGTGTTTGTGGAGTGTAAGTTGTGTCTGGAACTGAGCGCGGGGTGGGGGGAGTTGTGTTTGAGAGGGGTGCGTTTTATTTGCGTTTTTTACCCACGTTGAGCATTTTTTGGTCAGCGGGCAGCAGGTGGGTCAGTGATGTGCAAATTTCGCGCCATTGGGGGGAAGGTGGGGATGGACCTTCCCGATGCGGTTGCGAAATTTCGCCTTTTGGGCGCGCGTAGTTTCTCGGGCGGCATTTCGCCCAAACCTCGGAGGAGGGTTCCACCCCCGTTTCCATATGCGGTCACGATGCTGATGCCGTCGTTTTCAATCTAAAAAACGATGTGCTGGCGAACAGCACCTTTGTGTACCTACACTGATTTTTCAGTGTGTAGATTTTTGTGAGACTGATTTTTCAGCCTTCATTTCATAGTTACCGTAACACTGAGTTTTCAGCCTTTTATCGAAGTGTACACTGAATGCACATTCGTAATCCTTCGTGAAAATCGCCCGAGATCACAAATATTACGTTCCTGAAGGTTACAAACCACCTACTAACGGCTTGGAGTGTCATAGTTGTTAGGGAAACCCGACGAAGGGTACGGTCTAAGGTTCGTCTTGTCAAACTGTATATGTACTATTATGTAGGCTGTAGTGGGGTAGCCAATATGGGGTACAACTCCTTTAGGGTTTCCATTTGTACCAAACTCATCCATAGTTCATTCATTCCTGCTTCTAGTTTCAACATGGTTTCAGAGCAGGTCCTAGCCTAGGACCGCTTTTTTAGGGCCCACCGTACCGCGCTACCCCACGAGTCGCACCTACTACTGCCGCCCTACCCTGCCCTGCGTTGCGCTGCCGCGCACGCCCTGCCCTGCCCTGCCCGCGCGCTGCTCGCTGCTGCGCGCCGTGCCCTGCCCGCGCGCTGCTTTCAGCCGCGCGCCCTGCCCTACCCGCGTGCCGCGCTGCCCTGCCCGTGCGCCGCGCGCAGCCCGTCGCCGCGCGTGCCCTGCCCGTGCGCTGCCCGCCGCAGCCGTGCACTGCCCTGCCCGTGCGCCGCCACCGCGCCCCGCGCACAGTGCCGCCCGCCGCCGCGCATGCCCTGCCTGTGCGCCGCCCGCCGCAGCCGCGCACTGCCCTGCCCGTGCGCCGCCGCCGTGCCCCGCGCACTGCGCCGTCCGTAAGCCGCGCACTGCCCTGCCCGTGCGCCGCCGCCGCGCCCCGCGCACTGCGCCGCCCCGCGCGCCAACCCCACCCGCACGCCGCTCGCCGTCGCGCGCGCTCCCCTGCCTGCGCGCCACCTGGCCGCCGCTGAGCGCCCTGCCCTGCCACTGCGCCCTTTGCCGCCGCGTGCCCTGCCTTGCTCGCGAACCGCCAGTCGCTGAGTGCCCTGCCCTGCCCTGCTCCTACGGCGCTTGCCTGCTCTGCCTGCTATGGCGACTCTCGGCATCCTCACATTCGATCCGGAGGGCCACCTGATAGAGTTCCAGTCCTGGCTCGATGCCTTACAGCTGTTCTTACTGAGCGACTCTAAGGACGTCATCTCACTGTTTGACCTCACGTCTGGAGCCTGTCCTGCCCCTGCTGACATAGCTGACAGTACGACCCGCTCACAGTGGCTTACCCGTGACGCTACTGCTCGCCTGGCCATTCGCAATCACCTGCCGTTAGCCGAACGCGACCACTTTGGCCAGCACAAGACTGCTAAAGCCCTGTATGACGCAGTAGTCGCTCGCTATTCCTCCCCGGCCACTGCTGCTCTAGGCCGCCTTCTACTGCCCTACCTGTTCCCAGAGCTGTCCGCTTTTGCCACAGTCGCCGACCTCGTCACTCACCTTCGCACTATTGACGCCCGCTACCGAGCCGCGCTTCCTGCCGAGTTCCTCACCAAGAACCCTCCTCCCATGTACATCACCCTCTACTTTATCGTCACCCGCCTCCCTGACTCACTTAGCGCCGTCAGGGACCTCCTTCTCGCCATGGACCCCACAGACCTCACTGTCGACCTCCTTGAGAAGCACCTCCTTGCAGCTGAGACTAGCATAGTCGCTGTAGGTGCTTCTCGTGGCACTCCTCGCACTCCCTTCTTTGAGGGGTGCTCGCCCTCCCCCCTTCTCCACTCCGTCGCCTCTACCGCAGCTGTTGACTACATTCGTGCTGAGGAGGTGGGCGCAGCGTCTGCCCCTTGTGGGAGGCGCCGCACCGGCAGGGGCAGGGGAGGCAGGGGCGGTGGGGGTGGCAGAGGAGGAGGCGGTGGTGGGGGTGGTGGCGGCGGTGGAGGGGGCGGCAGTGGCGGAGAGGGTGGAGGCGGTGGTGGGGGTGCTGGTGGTGGTGGTGGCGGAGGTGGGGGTGGTGGTGGCGGCGGTAGTGGAGGCAGTGGGAGTGCAGGCGACGGCGGTGGTGGCGGTTGGGGTGGTACTAGCCAGAGGGGAGGCCTTGGCGGTGGTCCGAGGCAGCAGCAGCAGCAGCGTCCGACCCTTTCGCCTCAGGAGCTTCGTGAGTGGGCGTGGGACGGCTGGGGGTAGTGGTCCTTGCTCGTATGTCATTCGCACAGGTGACCGCAAGGGTCAGACATGCGGGAAACTTCACACCCAGTACCGCTGCTTCTCTCGTCTTACCGACGCCTTTCGTGCACAGTTTTCCGACGCCGCTGAGCTCCCCCGCTGGGCAGAGCTGCTTAAGATGGGTAGATATAATTGCTCTTGATTATGATGCTATCCTTGCTGCCATGTACTGTTAGTGCTGAGGGTGACTGTTACTTGTGTGTGCCGCCCGACCCAGGTATAGAGGCTGCTGCCCTAGGTGCTAGTGAGTCTGCTCTCTCAGGTACTGCGCCTACTGAGGCCTTGCACACCTTCACTCTTGACTCAGGTGCTTCCCGCTGTTTCTTTTGCGACAGTACAGCACTCACACCACTCGCTGCACCTATTGCAGTCTCTCTGGCTGACCCCTCAGGGGGCCCAGTTCTTGCACGGTCCACCACTGTGCTTCCGTGCCCGGCGGTTCCGTCTGGCTCACTGTCAGGCCTCCACCTCCCCTCGTTCTCTACGAACTTGGTGAGCAACGCTGTTCTTCAGGATGAGGGGGTTAATACCTTCACCCCTACATGGCAGCGTGTGGCGATCTGTACGTGTGCACAGACGGGCCATCACCTGGCCACGTTTACCCGTCGGCCAAAGTCGAGTCTTTACACACTGACGACTGCGCCTCCTCAGGTAGCTGCTACTGGTCAGGTGTCTGCGTCAGGTCAGGTAGCCTCCCCCTGTCGCACCAGACTCTTCTCTGGCACCACCGTCTGGGTCACCCCTCCTTGCCACGTCTGCATGGCATGCACCGTCGTTTCCTTGTGTCTGGTCTTCCCAGGTCTCTCCCTCCCCTCCCTGCCTCGCCTGCACCGCCCTGCCTTCCTTGTGTCGAGGGGCGGCAGCGCACCGCTCCTCACTCCTCCTCGTTTCCCCCGACAGAGGCTCCACTTCAGACCCTCCACATGGACGTGTGAGGCCCAGCCCGCGTTCGTGGACAGGGCGGCGAGCGGTACTTTCTGCTGGTTGTCGACGACTACTCGCGTTACACCACGGTCTTCCCCTTGCGCACCAAGGGTGAGGTTCCTGCTGTCCTGATCCCTTGGATCCGAGCAGTTCGTCTCCAGCTCAGTCGCCGGTTCCAGACGGACCTTCCTGTCCTCCGTCTGCACTCTGACAGAGGTGGTGAGTTCTCCTCCGACCTCTTGCGGGCCTTCTGTCAGGGGGAGGGCATCCTCCAGTCGTTCACGCTTCCGGGCTCACCGCAGCAAAATGGGGTTGCTGAGCGCCGCATTGGCTTGGTCATGGAGATCGCTCGTACCTCCTTGATCCATGCGGCGGCTCCCCATTTTCTGTGGCCGTTTGTGGTCCGGTACGCTGCGCATCAGCTCAACCTCTGGCCCAGTGTCTCCTTGCCGGAGACCTCGCCCACACTGCGTTGGACGGGGGAGGTTGGCGATGCGTCACGCTTCCGGGTCTGGGGTGCTCGTGCCCTTGTCCGCGATACGTCCGCGGACAAGCTGTCGTCCCGCACCATTCCCTGTGTCTTCCTCGGCTTCATCCCTGACGCGCCCGGTTGGCAGTTTTACCACCCCACCTCGCGCCGTGTCTTCCCCTCTCAGGACGTCACGTTTGACGAGTCGGTTCCCTTTTACCGTCTCTTTCCCTACCGCACTGCCCCTCTCCCTCCCCCGCCGCTTTTCCTCGCTCCAGGTCCCCCTCCGGTAGACCCCCTCCCCCCTCAGGGTCCTGCTCCTTCAG